TATTTATGCGTGAATCGCTCCTCGAGCAACAACGTTGGTAGGTATCGCTGTTTAACAAACAAGCCTACCCACCACGGCCGCCACACACTATTGATGTGTGTGGTCCCGGCATTCATACCCTCTGTGCACAAGCGTGAATTGCCTCTCAAGCAACAACCTTGGTGAGTAGCGCTGTTGGAACAACAAGCCCACCCACCACGGCCGCCACACACTATTGATGTGTGTGGTCCCGGCATATGTACTCTGTATTTATGCGTGGATCGCTCCTCGAGCAACAACCCTGGTAAGTAGCACTGTTAAACAAACAAGTCACCCACCACGGCCGCCACACACTATTTATGTGTGTGGTCCCGGCATATGTACTCTGTATTTATGCGTGAATTGCTCCTCGAGCAACAACCCTGGTAAGTAGCGCTGTTTACCAACAAGCCTACCAACCACGGCCGCCACACACTATCTATGTGTGTGGTTCCGGCATTTCTGTATTTATGCGTGGATCGCTCCTCGAGCAACAACCTTGGTAAGTAGTGCTGTTGGAACACACAAGCCCACCAACCACGGCCGCCACACACTATTTTATGTGTGTGGTTCCGGCATGTGTACTTTGTATTTATGCGTGAATCGCTCCTCGAGCAACAACGTTGGTAGGTATCGCTGTTTAACAAACAAGCCTACCCACCACGGCCGCCACACACTATTGATGTGTTTGGTCCCGGCATTCATACCCTCTGTGCACAAGCGTGAATTGCCTCTCAAGCAACAACCTTGGTGAGATAGCGCTGTTGGAGACAACAAGCCCACCCACCACGGCCGCCACACACTATTGATGTGTGTGGTCCCGGCATATGTACTCTGTATTTATGCTGTGAGTTGCTCCTCGAGCAACAACCCTGGTAAGTAGCGCTGTTTACCAACAAGCCTACCAACCACGGCCGCCACACACTATCTATGTGTGTGGTTCCGGCATTTCTGTATTTATGCGTGGACCGCTCCTCGAGCAACAACCTTGGTAAGTAGTGCTGTTGGAACAACAAGCCCACCCACCACGGCCGCCACACACTATTTTATGTGTGTGGTCCCGGCATTCGTACTCTCTGTATTTATGCGTGAATCGCTCCTCGAGCAACAGCCTTGGTAAGTAGCGCTGTTTGACAAACAAGTCTACCCACCACGGCCGCCACACACTATTGATGTGTGTGGTCCCGGCATTTATACGTTCTGTACACAAGCGTGAATTGCTTCTCAAGCAACAACCTTGGTAAGTAGTGCTGTTGGAACAACAAGCCCACCAACCACAGCCGCCACCCACTATTTATGTGTGTGGTCCCGGCATATGTACTATGTATTTATGCGTGGATCGCTCCTCGAGCAACAACCCTGGTAAGTAGCGCTGTTTAACAAACAAGTCTACCCACCACGGCCGCCACACACTATTTATGTGTGTGGTCCCGGCATATGTACTCTGTATGTTATGCGTGAATCGCTTCCAAGCAACCACCTTGATAAGTAGTGCTGTTACCAAACAAGCCTGCCACCCACGGCCGCCACCCACTATTTATGTGTGTGGTTCCGGTGTATGTACTCTGTTGTTAGGCGTGAATCGCTCCTTGAGCAACAACCCTGGTAAGTAGCGATGTTTAACAAACAAGCCTGCCACCCACGGCCGCCACCACTCTGGATGTGTGTGGATCCGGTATGTGCACTCTGTATGTACGCGCCACACCCTATGTATGCGTGTGGTTCCGGCATGGATCTCGGTGTCGTGAATTATATGTGGCACTATTGATAATCAAACGTTTCCACCACCACAGCCGCCGCGCACTATTTGTGTGTGTGGACCCTGCATTGCTGTAACTCTATTTCGTAATGCCTGTGGAGCGTAGGGTAATTGCCCGAGTTTAACATCCCTTACTAGGTATGTATCACTGTTGACAATCGCTCCCCCCCTCCCTTACCACCGCCGCCAAACACTTTTTATGTGTTTTGGTTCCGGCAGATTTGTGTCTGCGTGAATCGCGCTAGACGACAACCCTGGTAAGCGGCGCGTATCTGAGACCAAATGTGAACCAGATGATTCCATGTTACGCAATGCACGTGCATACTGCTACTCAGAGCCTCTGTGAGTCGGATTCATGACTTCCAGCATAATGCATATGCATATTGTATGCACATCCACAACGACCATCAATTGGTTTTACCAAACAGCAATTGGTTTGTATACGTGCGCTGCTGGGCTGTGATCATTTCATGCATGCAATTATGTCGTATGCCAGATGATCCGTATATCTCAGCTGATATGTCTCGGCATGGTATCAGTACACAGCAGCCCATCATCCAGCATGCCGCACCGAACCAAGGACCCTGGTGATACAGTAGCGTACTTTGAACAAGTAGACAACCAAAAAAAAAAATGTTTCCATGTGTTGCCTCGTGATATTTCGGTGTGTTGCCCTCGTAATTGACATCCATCTCGCAGCTTGCATGCACTGTGCCGTGTATCCGCGACCATCTCTGCGCCGTAATGGCTACGTGCCTGCGAGGACACCGGTCGCGTTTTGTACGTCAGCTGGCGAATTGGCGTGTGCCTCCATGTATGCACCCATGCTCAAATTAAAATTCCCGCCGCCTGCGATCACCTCAGCAACCCAACGGCAGAGGTGGAACAATCGCGACTGGATCGCTACCAGTATTACACCCAACGTGCATCGGATCCTATCGACCCACACATATCGACCCACTCGTACCGTTCAGTGGTGTGCACACGCGTCGGTACTCCCGGCGTTCCTCTAGCACCGCGATGGAGCAGCGCGCTCCCTCGTACAACTGCTGCTGCTGTTGGGCGGCCCTCTCGGGTCCCCACGGCTCGCTGATTGAAAGACCAAAAGACCAAACTTGTTTGCCGCTCCTCCAGCTTTACCACTCGAAGCCCTCACAGTGTCCACCTCGCTCCTTGTCTCTGCGTTGCTCTCTCTAGACTAGTCCTCGTAAGACTTTGTGTGAACACCTAGCTTCGATAGAGTGCCGAGGTGGTGGCTACTCCCCTGCTCCCGCTGGGGAGGGGACCCCGTATTTCCGTAGCAATTTATGCATACCCTAACAACGACGTTACAAATTCGACTACTTTCAATAAACCTTGATTTGTTTCCGTCTGCTCCTACAACAAATCTCCCCTTATTTTCTTCAGCTTTGGACCTACCGGTTGCCGGTCATGGGCTGTGCAAACCTGACGTAGGACATCACGAAAAAATAAATACACACACAGAAAGACTACCCATTCGAGATAAAGCCACAGTCGAACGGGATGTGGTGGAGTCTTTTCAGTGAGTGGAGGAAAACCGTTTCGAGTCGTTTTAAATCTATACACTGATGATATATATCAGTGATGCCAGCTGGTGCTAAGTACAAACACATCTGTACATAGGTAACTTACATTTTACAATTCATCCCCTGTAGTTCTCTACTGGGTGAACGACAAAGTATCGCGGAGAATCCCTCCGTTGTGTCGGGTATTGTAAAATGTAACCTTCACAGGGGGACACGGCGCAGTGTCTATTGACAGCTTGCTGGTTTGTTAGATATTAGGAATAACATTGTAAAAATCATGGAAGATGGAACGAAGGCTCAGCAGTACATCACTCGTTTTCCAAATCTACAGATTTATGAATTTCACGGGCAGCAGTTGTTTCCCGCCGTTTTTTGAATTTGCAAAACGTATTTGATCATTTGGGGTAACGTATCTGTGATGTTTACAGTATATGAGAATGGTACACCTAGGGCATATCATTCAGTTTGCATTATGTTAGCTTGTTGTTATGTTTGGTGTTGGTAAACAACATCAGTAGAGCACGGAAAGTTTTCAAATTATATACATCCAATGTGGCGGTTGTTGTCAACTTCCCTGGTGTTCCTCAGAGCGGTTTGCCGAGATTGTCTCAATTGCCCCCCCAAGCTCGGCCTCATCCAAGGCTTGGCCGAGCTCTAGCCCTCCCTTCCAAAACCACACCCTACCAAGGCATGGGTGACTTTCCCCACACATGCTAACAGAGAGGCTGGAGACACCGTCACACCCGCCGATATGCAGGGAGTCCAACGCAAACACATGTACGCAAACCGATGAATCAGCCCTTCGCGGAGACGTACAACAGCAGTAAAAATATTACAAACGGCGGTCGGCTGGTGCCCTCTGAAACGACATGCGGCCTGCTTTGCCAGGGCCGTCGGAAGACGCTGCGGGGCTCTCGCTGCGGTGCTTTCTGTCGACCAGATGAGGCCGCTGGTCTGACGATGAGTAAACCCTCAGCCAGTTGCTTCAAATACAAGAGCTTCCCCGCAAAATCATTCCGGAATTATGGTGAACGGGTTCTATGTGTAGACTAGGTTCCCTGCGGAGTTTGGTGAGGTAGTATGCATAGACTACGTGTTGTTTGCTTGCAAACGAAGTATATTTTTATCCACCAACTTAGACTGTGGGTGAGTACAAAAGTTTATCGGCTGTTTCGGCGGTATGGTCCCTCTCCTGTGGGCTCCGCGATCTTCGATCGACCACCCCGATTGCAACAAATATTGCTCGGAAGCGCGACAAAATGCTGCACGTGCATGTCCGTGTGTCCGTGTGTGTCCGTGTGATCCTGCAGCCATGCAGCTGGGTTTCGAGAATGCGGCGCGTTTACGTTTCGGAACTCCTATACCGAAACGTCACTTGAACTCGAGACATCAGCGTACTACAGCGTACTACAGCGTACTACAGCCCATCAAACAGCACAACCAGACACCCCAACCCCCCGCAATCAATCACGATTTTCATGTCCCGTTATTTGCCGGCGGTAGTAAGCATTTACTCCGCTTCGCCCCTCACCTCTCTCTTCAACACCCCTCGCACAACGTAGCCGGTTGGGAGAGGCACTACCATAAGGCAGCGCGTACACGAGACGCCGTGCAGCACGGGGCAGCAAGCAGCCTGTGGGCGGAGTAGAAGTTCGCGAAGAAGACAGCGGAGAGACATGACCAGTAACCCCGGCGGCCGGGCCATGGTTGTAGCATTGCTGGCGTGCCTTGCGAGTGTGGTGCTCGCCGCCCCGGTATACCCTCGCGACCCGCACCTGGACTGGAGCGAGTGGGACGCCCCACCAGCGTCTCACCTGAAAGACGACCCCGCCAAGAGCACCATGGACGGCGGCGGTCGCCAGCATGTAGACGACGCCGGCGTGCGGCGGCTGGTGAGGACGTGTGCCCTTCGGTTAGAGCTATCAGCTGATGTGTGCGGGAAGGGGGGGGTTCCCGACTCGCAAGATGCCTATCGGTTGCACCACATGCACTCGGGGGGCCTCCCGTGCGGGTTCGAGGTATGTTCGTTCTCTGTTTTCCTTCTGGTGTTGTTTTGGAATCGGCGCGCAAGGTCGAACAATGATGTGGGACACGTGTGTTGCGGCAAGTTTATTTTTTATTTTTTGAGAACACAAGGTAAGCTCTGGGAGGGCTGCTTGTAGGCAACAGGAAGTTGTTTGCCGGGAAAAAACAACTCGACCAAGTCTATATCAAACCAAATCGGCTTGTCACTACTGTACTCTTCCCTCTGTGAGCCCCAATCCCCCAACACAACTGGTGTGAGGTATGATACTCTGCACACCGCAGTGCCGAGATTAGGTCTTTGAGGGCAACTCCATCAGTGGAATAGGTACGTCCAGCAGTTTGGGACCTACCTCATTTTTCGGGCGGCATGCATTTTTTTTTTTTTCATGATGGGACATGTCAGACAGCAACAATTACAGCATTCGACAGCAGCACTCTCCCAGAAACAGATCTGAGCGTGCCCAGATGGGGGGGAACTCAACCCCTTGATGCTGGCTCAATAGAATGCAACCTTTCCCGCCGTTTATACCAGTGCTGCTGTTATCGGTAGAGGACACCATGAAGAGGCGTCGTGTGCGCTGGCACGTTCTGGTTTGTTTGCTTCTTGGGTGGTGATATCGAGGATCGTACAGCAGCGTAGTATTATAATGGCCTACAATATCCGCAAATCCCGGCAAATTTGACTGACATCCAGTGTCTTGTACTGCTTGTGCTCAACGCCACGGACCGTACACCGCTGAACGGCGTCAGCAGTAGCTACATGGTGACATCAGCTCATCCCGCAGTTCAGGAGATTGGGGTCGGGGTTTCCGAAGTCAGTCAAAATCAATATCGACCGCCTCCCGACAATAGGCGCGGTAAAGCGGTCCGTTGCGTTCGCAGGAGCATCCAGTCTTTCTTGCCCGAACTTGTGCAGAATCCGAATTACTTCTGGTATGTATTTACCTCACCCCCGTGCGATTACGCTCCCACGCGCGCAAATCCGCCGATGTTTGCATTCGTCTGCATTCTTGGGAGTATATCAGTGTACGCATATTTTCTATTTTTCCTTGTGAAGTATATTCATACTGTAGAACCGCAGACATCGCCTCTCACGCGGTTGCTCCAATACGGGTTCATAGAGGGCGCTTAGATGCTTTCACTGAAACACCGAACAGTGCTCGAGTTCCGTGCAAGCTTAAACCTTACAGCGAACATTTTGTTTGATTGCCAAGTCGGGTTGCTTTCGGGGTTGGCATGCTCTCCGAGACCCCCGTAGTCGCTGAAGCTCTGTAGAGGCGTGGCAAACAGCTTGGCGCCTATTCCTGTCCTCTTGACAAATAACGGGATCGGGGAAGAAATTTAGGAACGATGCTCTGGTGAATTTCCCGTCTAGGCGTTCATGGCGCCCAAACGAGTTGTCGGTCTCCTTCACTTTCTACAGTTTTGCTAAAACGCCCATGGGACCCCCATGGGCCGCCGCCCATGGGCACTTTTTTGCCCATGGTTGACCCATGGTTGACCCATTGGCATACCCATGGGTAGCCCGTGGGCCGCCCATGGGCGGCCCATGGCAACCTATGGGAAGCCCATGGGCGGCCAATGGGAGCCCCTCAACCGGAACCAGTGTACTCCTAAACAATAGATTGTCTGCTTTGGAACGGTCATTATATCGACTAATAACCCTAGTGCTAACCCTAACCCTACCCCCAGGCCACACGACACGTGCTAGGCACACTCGATACGTGCTAGGTTGGCGCTGGTGGCTATGTTCTAGGTTGATGTGCAGGTGGCTAAGCCCTAGTGGCGAAGTTCTAGGTTAAAGTGCCCATGGGCGGCCCAAGGGTAACCCATGGGTGTCCCATGTGCGGTATAGCAAAACTGTCAGTAGTGGTCCAGTCGCGCCAAGAACTCAAAGGGGTAACATTTAATGGTGCCTCGAGGTGGGAATCTTGCACTATGTCATCACCCCGCATCGTATTTAGATTTTCATTCACTGGCTTAGAGTGCAACTTGCCGTGGTCCGTTTCCTTGTAGTCGATCTGCACAGGATAAAGGCACCAGCGAGCGCTCGAACCACCGCCTGTCGCTACGTGGTTTTTGTTGCACATGTTTGTGTTTGTGTACTTTCCTGAAAGTTTGAAGCTTGAAGCCCTCCTCTGATGAACCTTGCGCTTCAAAGCACTCTTTGGCCTGGCGGGTGGGAAAGGGAGGCAGTCAACGGGAACAATGCCTGTAGCGTGGTGATGTGCCACGTCTGTTTCGGGGTTGGTCACGAAAAGTCTCGTCCATGCAAAAGTTCTTGTCCGTACACACCCAGCAACCAGTTTATCCATCTGATGCTCCGAACAGCAATGGAGCGTCCGATTGACGTTGGATGCCGCGTATTTAGCCACGAGTTACCGCCCCTGGGACGCCCCCCCCTGACGGTTTTTTATTGCTTGGTCCAGTACCGCCTTTGTTTTGATTTTTTCCTTTCTGGTGGCACACGCCGCCTGAATTGTCCCAGATAAATACAGCAACGTCCCCAAGTCAAAGTCCACGGCGATATCCTGCTTTTCCTCACGACCCGTGTAGTAGCAGGGACGGCTCTCGTAAGGTTCCACTATGGTCTTCTTTCTTCGAGTCGCCCTCCTCTATTGAGGTGGGCAACCCCATCCCCAAATGCCGTTCGATGTTCGGGAACAGTGGGTTGGCCGCGGGAAGTCGCGATCTCAATGCGAGTATTACCCCACCTCTTGTAGGCCCTCGTGGGAAGGTTTGACGCCCATTTGGTAGGGTTGTGTATCGGCGCAGCCGAACGATATAATATGTATCGGAGATCGGCGCAGCCGATATAACGATTAGCCGATATATCGAAAAAATATCGTTTTTTTTTACGCGATTTGGCTTCACTAGAGCATATTTTTTGGGTGATTTTGGGGCACTTCGACCATGCCATTTTTTGGTGGGTGATATCCTGAAAACTACTGAAAAACGCTAAAACTTGGAAACCATCGACAATAAATGACAGATGATTAGTCAGTTCTCTTTCGAAGCTTGGGTGTGAGGCATTCGGGGGCTTGGGCAGCTTCGGCTCCATCTTGACCCTCTCCACCTTCGCAGCCCGCTCGTTTTTCTTCGAACGCTCTGCTGTCTCTGTGTCTGAAACTGGTTCTACTGCAACCACCGGCGTGGAGGGCCCTCCATCCTGGTCCGCTGCTGGTGGGGTACTCATGGGGTGTTCGGCTAGTGTTCGGTGTTCGGTCTGCTCTTCTGTGGTCCAAAGCAACAGCCGCCGCAACAGCGAGGCCTCATAGGGGGTCCAAACGTGTAACTGTTGTAACATATGCCCCCTTTTTGATTCACGGAGCCCCCTCAAACATATCGCCCAACATATCGGGGCTGACAATAGATATTCGATACGATATATATCGTCCGATTATATCAAACATATCGGCTCCGATACACAACCCTACCATTTGGAGTTTTTTTCTCAGAATCAGAATCGAAGGGTGGCAAGAGTCGGCATGCGCAATTGATGCTATTGTTCTTCGCTTCTCGCGTTCTTGCTCGTATGCTGCCCCTGGAAGAGACCCTAAGCATCCTGCTGGACCTTGCGTGTCGCAGGAGCGCTTGGGGAAAGACGCTATGGAGTATATTGCCTCCAAGTATTCGTTCCACTTGATAGGCGACAGCACCAGCCGTAGACTCGGGGAGAGTTTTGTGTCGATTTTCACGGGGCGAGGATCGATCCACCGAATCGCCCAGAGGGACAGGGACTTTTCTTCAGGGAACCTTAAGGTGAGAATTAGCACCCCTACGTTGAACGTTGTTCAGCTATCCGTCCCGGCACTCGATTACCGCTACCAACATGGGGGGGGTTGATGGTGTCGCCTAGAGATTGACCCCTCAACTGCTCCTGTCTGTTTCCTTGAAGACGTCACTCTGCGGTCTGAATCAGGAGTTGCAGTGATGTAAGTTGGTATACCTAGACGCAAGCCTGTTGCACTGCGGAAGGCGGCCCTTCCTTCTTGACACGTTTCCTTGTGGGAAAAAATCACTGTAGCCTTCTCGCATTGAGGCGAAGGCAGGCACGGCAGATGATACCTGTTGCGTGACCCCAGTCCGATATCTTGCGCAGAGTCCATAAGGTGGTAGGTGACGCCCCGCGGGTGGTAGCCGTTTGTACGGGCAGAAGAAAAATGAAGGAGATCGTGACGATTTTTTATTTTGTTCTGGGGAAGGGTCTGCAGTGCTCGGCCATTTTCTCGTGTCGACGGAATTCAAGTCTGGGGCACCTCTTTCGTCAAGTAGTTAATCGCCGAGCTGTAGCACGCTTCAGTCTCCCATGCACTCCTCGATGCTAGGTTTACCACTTGACTTTTCGGGGCATCACGCACTTTGTAGGTGGAACACTTTCGGGGCGTTGAGACGAGGAAAGACGTTGTCAGCAAGGATTGAGCCAAAATCGCGAAACTCAGCTTATCCGTGAAACTACCCCCGACTCCCAAACGCGAAGGTGCACTTCTACTGGGCACCGTTGTGCTCGGGGCCCGAGAGCGTCGGCGCGATGCTAGCATCCGTCATGGACGCAGTCCGCGCGGCGAAGGACGGCAAGCGTGCGGTGATCATCACCGCATACGGCGTCCACGACGCGTTTGAGCTGCATCATGCCGCCAACGGGCATGGGAGCCCCTCGTACAAGAGCGCCCTTCCTCAAGATGTCGTTGAGAAGGACGGCATGAGGGCCGCCGCCCTTGGCGCTTGCCGGGACACTACCACTCAGCTGGTCAGAGCAGCGGCAGCAACGGCGGTACCCGGGACCGAAGCGCCACCAGTGGAGGAAGAGCAATCGCCGGGGGATGGGCGGCGCCAGCTGCCGAACGTGTCAACGAAGGTTGAGGTTGGACCACACGAGACGTCAGAGAAACAGGCAGCAGGCATCCCACCACACAATGTCAGAGGTGGTTCGGTTGGGGCTGGAAATGAAGACACGCTGCTGGGCGCATCAGCCCCGCCGGCCGCATCAGGCCCTTTGCAGCCGCTGCTCTTTCTCATGCAGAACAACAGATATCCCCCCGGCTCTGTGGAGAATGCGTTTCAGGAAGACCTGCATATAATACAGAGGCAGGTTGTTGGCGAGTGGGAAGCAAGCGAAGGGTCTAAGGGCGATGGCGGTGAACGAGGATTGTTTCTAGTGGACAACAGCGTGGGCTTGTATGGGAACTTGTCCTGTTACCGCAATGCCAACCCAATCCACTTCGATGAGCCCGTGAAGCTTATGGAAGGCAAGATGCTTTGGGACTTGCTGGTGCTCGTCGACAACGGGAGCGTGTTACCCCCCACCGTATTTTTGGCCGACGAAGACTACGGCCATAGTGCTGATGGCGAGGGTGGCGATAGTTTCTCGATGAATTCGTTGTCGTTGTCGTTGCCGTTGTCGGTGTTCTTGTTGATATCTCTTGGTTGTTTCTTGTTTCGATATTGCCGCAATAGAGGAACGCTGGCACCAGAGTGCCAGAAGCACGGCAGAAGTCCAAATGAATGCGACATTTAAGGTGCCGCTGACAGTATGCCTGGAGTGCGGCGTCGATGCACATAGGTTGTTCGAACGTCGCTTTTGGCGGTGGGATGTATTTATTTTCCGGGGAAACTGCTCCGCAACCGTAGAGCCGGTACAATAAAGTATTGCCATATGTAGTTAGTCTCTGTCTCGTGTATCCGTCGTGACCGTTAGTTCTTGCGCGACGTGGGCTATTCAGGTCTTAGTACGTAGAATCTGCTTCCTCCTTTATAGTGCGTAGACTTCCTTAACGTGCTCGGTTGTGTTGTGCGCTTGTTCCACGTAGACTCACGCGTTGCCTTGTGGAGGCCTCGCTGAGTTGACATTGGTGCTGTTCCATGTGCACCGCGTACCTTGTGTTCGGAGTGTTGTGCATCTGCCGAAACCGTTTCTCTTCGCGGCCGATTTTTTTATTAGCGCGATACGCAATCTATCTTCTCGAGGGGTTCGGCTCTTTTGGCGTGCGCCCACACCCTTTGCAGCGTCGTGCGCCATATATGGGCATATCATTAGGCGCTTTGTCCAATTTTTCAGCAGTGGTGAATTCTTTTTGTTGTGTGGTTGAGGGAATTGATATGTACTGTAGCGGTTGAGTGAATTGACGTCGCCCATTCCTCCGTCGCATGAATTCTTGTTGGTGGGCTGATCGTTGTGTGCTTGATGTATTGCAGGGTACGAACGTTGCCCAAGGCGGGAGTCAAGCACGCGCGTACGTGTTCCGCCGTGCGTTGACTGCACCGATGTGGTCCAACTTTTTTTTTCCACAAGCACCTACAGTATCTATGCGTTCGCCGTACGTTGTACGTTGACTGCACGTATTGCCAATAAGGTGTTTTCGTTTGTGGTCTCGCGGGGCCAAATTCATCTTTGAAGGAGTGTGGAGGGTTGTTCAACGCAAGAAAAGCAACAGACAGGGCTTGGCTGAAACATAAATATTTAGCCAAAGATCTTGCCTAGAACGCTACAAGTACGCTTAAAGCAGTTGCTCTGGAGGGCTTCACTTTCCGTCTCACACATGGCAACGGATTTGGAAGGACATCTCACACATGTCATCGGATCTGGACGGATGACTGCAGTTTGCTCGAAAGGGGACACATTCTGGTTGCCAAACGCACAAATAGGCCCGATAGAGGTGTTGGCAGGGCACTGGACTAGGCTGTCGTGTCACTGGGTATTTGGTACCTCTTTCTCCGTTGCAAGCATTCACTCCCAAATGTCGAAACACGACAAGAGGGTGCCTCTAATGAATCGCCCAAAAAAACACGGGGTTGCGCAGCAGTTTCCACTCATTCCAAGTGCCCTCCAGTAGCGCCCCCACCCGTTCCCCATCCCACCACCCGGCCTTCGTCATCACCACTTCGCCCTCCAAATCGTGAGGGGTTCGAACGTACGGCTGCCTCGTGTTGGATATGCGCCATTGGCCATGGTCTGCCACATTGGTCCGCAGGAAAACGATGATCGATAAACTATTATCGGCTTGCCGCAACAACGAGATAGACACGTCTTTTTTTTTTTTCTTTTCTCCTCCGTGTGACAGAAACTATTGGCAGCTTCAAGAGTTAGCGCTGTCTTGAAGGTGGTAGAGGGGCGGCCCTCTTTGGATGCCGCTGTACGTGATTGGCAAGTGAAGTTCAGAATGGTGAAGCGTTCGACATTTGAGACGACGGCAGGTCAGATAGCGAATGGGTGCGGAATTTCAAGTCGAAACAGTTACGTAAGATAGACCTAGATAGTACCATCGTGAATTGAAAATAATATTGCTGAACAATTACCAACAGGAAACTGCTGTCGGTCCAATCTCCTCGACAGGTTCGCACTCAACTGCACGAAACGCCTGAACACTTGTTTCCCTCCAGATGTACCGTGGTCACTCCGTGCCGAGGATGTTCCAGAGGTATGGCTCAAGTCTCGACTCTGAACTTTCTTCCTCTGGCAATGAGGCGACCGTGCATCACCGACACGTCGGTCTCCAGCGTTATGATGTTCCCGAATCTTGGAGGTTGTAGTCAGCGTGTGGCAAGAAACGAGAAATGAGCTGTACAATCTACTGCACCTTGTAGAGAAGTCAGCACTCATTGCTGCCCTCATCAGCTGGTGAAGCACAGATCCCGTTTACTGTAGTGCCGTCAATATACGATGCCATTGACTTTCCTGCAGTCCTCTAGCTGCGCGTCGCCGCTGACTTCCACCAAGGTTCTTTGGTAGTCTAGCCACGAGATGAATGACCAGATCGAAAGGTTCAGGAAAATGCAAGATATCCGGATGTGTACGTCCAATGTGATGGCGACATGTCGAGCAGAAAAACGCTGAATTCAGGAGGGAGCGGCTAAATGCCATTTTGATGTTGAATAGTTCGGGAACTGCGTGGTGCGAAAACCGCCTACCTGTACTCCTTATTTTCGACAAGGGCTTGACGTGCCAGTGAATTTACTCCGGCAAATGGGATTTACGGTTGTGGTGCCACTCCACGGCCTTGCAGCAAAAATCGATGATGCACCCTGCCGTCGTCCATCGTGATCCTCCTCACCTCTATTGCGCTTGATACTGTGATGCAGCCCGCGTTTGTTCCGATGAGGCGAACTGGCTTGCGGATAGCTACATGGAGGTGTGAAACACGGCGTGTCGACTTGCACTGTCGTTCCGGGCTTGGCCTGAAGCAGTACTGTGATTTTTTCTTCGATTCTCTTCCCCGAAGTTTTGCCCGGGAGTGGCGAAATAGGTTTCGTGTGAGATGGCAATCTGGAGGATTTCGTCATACGCAGAAGCATGTGTTTTGAGTAGCTTCCATTACAGTTGTTTATTCTTGTTCGCTCTACTTTTTGGCCCCAGCCGTTCTTAGAGAACCCGATGGAAAACGTTGATGAAGTCAGCTCGTTGTCTTGGAGTGAACAACTGACAGATTGACTCAAGAAGCCGCTGCGCCTTCGGGCGACCTGGCGAGGCAACTCAAGTTTTGCCAAAGACAGCCGCAGCTCGCCGGCGGAACTGCCTTAGCCGGAATTCGCTTCACCGTTCCCTACGAAATTCGTGACAACTACATACTTCATGTATCATGTGTGTACAGTAATCATACAACGCCGATTCCCGTTGTCGACTCACGTGGGGGCCGCAGTCGAAGAACGCATCGTTCACTACCTCGAAGCATCCGACGCCCTCACCATCACGGCGCCTATCTTGTGGTTCACTCCAACGCCATGGCTCATGTCAAGTATTGGTGGGCGGGGCGGAGGCGGGAGGTATCCCCAGCACTGCTGTTCATCGCCCATGTAGAAATGCGTCGGCGCAGCGGGAGGAATTCCTGGCACTGCTGTTCATCGCCGATGTCTCGCGCTGCAGCACCCTCCAAGAGCATCTCAGAGCAACCAACGCGTGTGCATGTCATGGTGTCGTATGCAGATTGAGTCTCCGAGCAGGATTCCTGGGCCGAGAGCTTCCTAGCATCCAGCTCGGTCTTAAATGCCTCCTCCGAGCCCCACCCATCATCCACCAAGTTACACGCGCATCAATGCCGACGTGAGTGATATGAAAACAGAAGCCAAGACTCTCTAACCCCAACGAAGCACTTTTTCACCGTCGCAAAGAACGGAAACTGGTTCACCATTTTTGCCCCCCCCTCCCGCGGTACGTTCCCTCCCCCCGATGGTTGCCATCGGAGTTGGGTTTTGGTCGCTTGGCAACGACGTTGTAAAACATGCCGCCCCCCCCCCGGTGTTTGCCATCGTGGTTGGGTTTTCGTCGCTTGGCAGCGATGTTGTAAAACATGCCGATCACTTTGTGAGCTCGGCAACCAGGTTACCGCTTTTTTTTTACCTCTGTTTTCTGTTTTGCGGTAACCATAGTGGTGGTCGAGTTGGTTATGCTGTGCAGGGTCGAGAGCCTTCACTCCGCACAAAGGGGATAATCGCACCACGTTGTGTTCAAATGGTAAGGCATCCTCGAGGCAGTTACACAGGGCTTATTAACTGTCTCTGGAAGTGAAAGCACCAGAAAATAAATGAAGTCATACGCAGCTGTCATCCGTACGCAAGGAAGTAAGAACAAGATGCCGAACACCCTCAGCAGGATACGGCGCACCCTTCATGCGACTCGCCGAATACCTCACGGCGCTTCGCGCTTGGTGATGTGAGAGCCAAGAACCCGGCGTGCTCCGTGCCGGCTTCATAGGGATGCGAGGTCAATGGTCTAACGAATACGGCAT